CATTTAATAGATAGACAAAATTAAACATAGATAGTATTTTGGAATTGTTGACACTTTGTGTTAAAACTACTTATTTCCAATTAAATAATGAATTTTTTCAACAAGATTTCGGTATCGCAATGGGATCACCTCTCTCTCCTTTGTTAAGTAATATTTTTATGGAAGATTTTGAAAATAATACAATAAATAGTTTTTCAAAAAAGCCTGTAATATGGCTGCGTTATGTTGATGATATTTTTGCAATATGGCAACATAACGTTTCTGAAATAGACATTTTTTTGAATTATATAAATTCTCGCGAACCTACCATAAAATTTACTTTAGAAGTAGAGAGAGGTAATCGTTTGTGCCATTTCTTGATGTTTTAGTGTCAAAGTTTCAAAATAAACTAATTTTAGATGTTTACAGAAAACCCACAAACACAGATAGATACTTAAATTTCACATCTAATCACAGTATAAGTGTAAAAAAAGGTGTTATAAAAAGTTTATATGATAGGGCAAAAATAATATGTACAGACGACATTTCACTAAACAGAGATATAAACCACATAAAAAATACATTAATAAAAAACGACTATCCACCATATTTTATTGACAAAACATTAAACGAAATACAAACCCCAAATCATAGACACAATGATAACAATACACAATATATACAACTTACAATTCCATACATACGAGGCGTTTCGGAAAAAATAAGGATAGGAAAACAATATAACATACGAACATCTTTCAAAACACAAAATACACTTAGATCCATTTTATCACATACTAAACCAATAAATACAGAACAATAAACAAAAAATGTAATATACCAAATATCCTGTGAATGCGATAAATTTTACATTGGTGAAACATCTAGACCTTTAAATGTTAGAATTAAAGAACATAAAGATTATTTAAGAAAGGGAGATTTGTCAGCATTCATGGGACACAGGGCACAGAATAAATTTTAATAACGCCAAAATTATAATGAAAGAAGCGATAGCCTCTAAAAGAAAAATAAAAGAGGCTTTTTTAATTCAATCTAATAAAAATAAATGTATTGCTCATGCATCTGTAGATGTTAGTAATGTATGGCAATCGCTTCTTTGATTTTAAAGAACATAACATAAATAAACATAACATACATAAAATTTAAAAATAATCATAAAGAAAGTTTGGGCTTTTTGGTTTTACCTTATTAAGTAATTGTTATCAGGTAGTAATTGTTAATTTTGAAGTTTAACTTAATACGAGGGTGGTCTGAAAAGTTTCCGACCTAACAAAGATACAAGACATTTTTTTCTGAATATTTTATTTTATTTTTCAACATAGTCCCCTTGTAACTCTACACACTTTTCCCAGCGATGCTCCCATCTCTGTAACCCGTCCAAATAGTACTCGGCGTTTTTCTCTGCAAAATAGTGGTTCACGAAGGTGATTGCGTCTTCATTTGACGAAAATCTCTGTCCTCCGAGCGCAATTTTTAAATGAGGGAACAAAAAGAAGTCGCTAGGGGCTAGATCTGGTGAGTAAGGCGGATGGTCAAGCAGTTCAAACCGTAATTCGTGGATTTTCGCCATGGCAACCGCTGAGGTGTGAGACGGTGCGTTATCTTGTTGAAACAGGATTTTCTCTTTCTGTAAATGTGGCCGTTTTTCCGTAAGTTCTGCTTTTAGCTTGTCAAGTAATGATGCGTACTGTGCTCCTGTGTTGGTTTTTCCTTTTTGAAGATAATCAATTAAAATAACTCCATGACTATCCAAAAAAAGAGTCGCCATCACTTTCCCAGCCGAAATAACAGTTTTTGCTTTTTTTGGAGCCTGTTCTCCCTTTGCCGTCCACTGTTTGGACTGTATTTTTGTTTCTGGTGTATAGTGGTGTATCCAAGTTTTATCTAAAGTAATTAATCGATGCCAAAAGTCGGATTTATTGCGCCTAAACTGCGTTAACATAGCGTTGGAAATGTTCATACGAACACGCTTTTGGTCTAACGTGAGCACACGCGGCACCCAAAGCGCGGACAGCTTTCTCATGCCTAAATATTGATTTAATATGGGACAAACACGTTTTTTTGATATGTTCATAACCTCTGCTATCTCTCTCACTTTAATTTGGCGGTCGTCTAGCACTATTTGGTGAACTTTGACGATGTTATCGTCGGTAGTTGCAGTTTTTGGACGTCCCGAACGTTCATCGTCTCCCATGCTCTTACGGCCACGTTTAAATTCAGCTGCCCAAAATTTCACTGTGGTAAATGATGGTGCAGAGTCCCCATACACAGAAGCCAACTCATGTTTAATTTGTGTAGGCGTATTGCCTTTCAAAACCAGATATTTAATGACAGCTCGATACTCGATTTTGTCAATTTTCACAAAAACACTGACATCAACTCACTCAAACTACTTTTACATAACAACTGCGCATCCAAAATGGCTGAAACTTTGCACTTCTTCTGTACAGGGTGGCGCCACGGAGGTTCCAAGGAGAACGACAGTTTCTATTGAAATGAAATTTTGTGAGCATATGTAGGTTAATTCAGAGCCCTTTTTTAAAATATAGAGAGTTCTACAGGGTGTCCCCAAAAAAAGTTACATATCAAAGTTGTGTTTTTCTAATGGAACACCCTATATATTAATTGATTTTCGGATTCCGGGAGAAAAATAAAAGTGATTTTTTTAAGAGAAGTATATGACCAAAGTAAGGTTTTAATATGACTAAAGTAAGGTTTTAATATTTAACATTTTCTAGAAATAAAGAACAATTTTTAAATTACAATAAAAGGTACTTAAATTGGAATTTACCCGGTATAGCTTAATATGTAGTTAAATTAACTATTGTACTTTAAATCAAATTAAAACTTGATCCAAAAATGTATACAGGGCGAGACAAAATTAATATTGAACATTGGCCACCTTTAAAAGCATGTTACTCTCTTATTTTAAATTGAACACCCAGTATATTATTCCGATATTCAATGGAGAATTCATGTTTCTTCAAAATACTATTAAGGTTGCCTACGTCTATTGTACTTTAAATCAAATTAAAACTTGATCCAAAAATGTATACAGGGTGAGACAAAATTAATATTGAACATTGGCCACCTTTAAAAGCATGTTACTCTCTTATTTTAAATGGAACACCCAGTATATTATTCCGATATTCAATGGAGAATTCATGTTTCTTCAAAATACTATTAAGGTTGCCTACCCCTATTGTACTTTAAATCAAATTAAAACTTGATCCAAAAATGTATACAGGGTGAGACAAAATTAATATTGAATATTGGCCACCTTTAAAAGCATGTTACTCTCTTATTTTAAATGGAACACCCAGTATATTAGTCCGATATTCAATGGAGAATTCATGTTTCTTCAAAATACTATTAAGGTTCCCTACCAATTACCTATTCAAAGATTTTCCTAGATATTTTCATTTACATGATTTGATCTGAGTAGATCTTTATTATTTGATAAAATCTAGGTGGTGTGATATGTCTGACGTTACTTCAACATGACTGTCTAATTAGTCCAACTTTAACAACTAGTTATCATTTTGTGTCAGTTTAAAAAAAAATCAGATATTTGCCGAAAATGCAAACGTATCCTACATCAGAGAGAATTGATATGACACTATTAGTTGGTGAATGCAGTGTGCATTCACCAATTAATAGAATACTTAAATGCTCTTGTATTTATCTAGTCTGGTTTTTTATGGGGATATGTTAAAGACAGTGTTTACAAAACTCGACCAACTAGTGTCGACAACATGAGAGAAATTATTGTAGCTGCTTTTCGAGGTAGAACTCCACATATGCATTTTAAAATGAAAAGACCCTTTTTTAAAAGGCAATCATTTTATGTAGTTAACAGGAAGGGAAGCATTTAGAGCATTTGATTTCATCTAGCTAATTTTTGTCGCCTAATTATAGGTTTATATCTAGTTTTAATTCTGTAATAATTAAAATATGTTTTAAACGTGTATCTTTTTAGTACCCTTGAGTACTCTACTCTAAAATCTTTAATTTTTGTTAAATTAACAAAAGGTATATCACACAGCCACCTAGATTTTTTCAAATAATAAAGATTTACTGACGCAAAATCATAAAAATTAAAATATCTGGGAAAATCTTTGTTTGAGGAGTAGGCAACCTTAATAATATTTTGAAGATATATAAATTCCCCATTGAACACCGAAAAAATATACTGGGTGTTCCATTTAAAATAAAGGAGTAACTTGCTTTTAAAAGTGACAAAACTTCCATATTAATTTTGTCTCACCCTGTATAACTTTTCGGGTCAAATTTCAATTTGGTTTAACATACAATGATTACTCTAATTAAATATCAGGCTATTCAAGGTCAACTAAAATTTAGGTAGCTGTTATCGAAAGTTAAAATTTTCTCTTCATTTTCACAAAATGTGAAATATGTCAAAATCCTTAGATTTTAGGTATATGCTTCTTTAATAAAACTCACCTTTATTTTTTTCCTAGAATCCGAAAATCAATTAATATATAGGGTGTTCCATTAGAAAAACACAACTTTGATGTGTAACTTTTTTTGGGGACACCCTGTATAATTCTATATAATTTTATAAAATGCTTTCAGTTAACCTACATATGCTGCCAAAATTTCATTTCAATATAAACTACCGTTCTCCTTGGAGCTTCCGCGGCGTATGAGAGGCGCCACCCTGTATATGTGTTTTGTGATATTATATTTCGGCGTCTCTTGAAACAGCCGCCCAGTGCGAGGGACTCGGTTTGCCCCAAATATTGTATAAAACTTAATTAAAGTATGTTTAGATCATACATACTTTTGTGGAATTTGGCTGTAATAACATCCCAACTATTACGTAAAAATATGGGTAATTCTGTTCCAAATTTTCTAACAATCTTTTCTTGTTGTCAGTTTTAACAGTCGTCCGTGAATTATAACACTTATATACTTTTCACAGTTATAACTGTTTTATAGAGTTAGAACACTGCAATATTTAAAAACTATTTTATTAGGGCGAAGGAATTGCTTGAATCACAGAAAAAAGTCTATAGATGTTCCATGTGTAGCTTCCAAACACGATGTAGGGCAGTCTTTAGTACACACATGAACATTCATTTGGCCCCAGAAGAACGACAGTGGTTTCGTTGTGAACAGTGTGACACGAAGTATTTGAACAAAGCCGCACTAAATCGTCACCTCAAGCATCATCGTATTGATTCCAGGTAAATTAATAGCTAATATAAGTAATATTGATTAGGATGAGTCCAATATTCTAAATGAATACTTGGGATTCACAATCCTGGGGTAATAATAGGCAGTTGAAGTATAGTGCTAGCCACATTACCTTTCTTGTATACCGAACAGCTGCGCTATAGCAAGAACGGACTGGACCAGAGGGGCCCGGGTTAGCCTAAGAGCTGACGACATATTTAGAGAACATATTTTAGGCAAGCTAGAATAACTAAAAATGTATAGTTTATTAACTGGTGAACCCAGAATCCTAAGTTGGGCAGAGGTATTGCGGGTATTTCGCTACTGCGCAACCCTTTATATTTGCAAAAAATAAATCCAAAAAACATCCTTTAGGCAACTTGAAATTTGTTTATTCTCAAATTTTAGCATCTATTTAACTCAGAAATAAGTATGCAAGACTTTTTTTTCGGGTTTAAAGTATAACCCGACCATCGCAAATATGTTAAATAATTATACCTAGAAAATATACTTTAGGCATTCTAAATTTTTTACAGCGTGTTTATTAGATAATATTAAAAAATATGTGATAATTACTAGACGAATTCAACGGGTTTTAATACTTGCCGGACGCGAATAAAGATTTTAAATGAGCGCGATAAGAAAGTCTTATGAGTATCTATAAGTACGAGAAAGATAGTTTATTGAGACTCGTCGGCAGGAGACCCGACTGGCGTAACAGTATTTTGGAGTACTTAAAATTTTTATAAACACAATTTTTTTTTCGGTTTCATTTCAATTATTTGCAGGCTTTTAATTCCGAGATTGTCGCAATTAAGTTACCATGTATAAATATGTATGTATTTATAAACTAAACGTTGATGTGCATAGTGTAAATAGTTTAGAATAATTACAGTAAATAAATATTGTAGTAACTATTAATTTTAAGGATATTATGTACCTACTAATAAATCACAATGGATAAAAAAACATTTAAGTTGTGTAGTTTGTAAAAAATACATTATTGATAAAGTGATTACTCCTGAAGGTAGACTAGAATAATGCAAACAATTTTTAAAAGTGTGCCAACAACATGGCCTAAAATTCAAAGAAGTGGTTTTACCAGAAAATGTATCCCCGACAAAAGGGTACCATACACAGTGCTACAGGATTTTTTCAGTTGTTATGAAGAAACAGACATTGAGATCCTCAAATACACTTCCTAAACCATCTTCATTCATCTTCAAAAATAATATGGAAAACGCTTATTTTATGAGTTTATTTTATAACTTTTTAGTAAAACTGGAAGTGTGGAAAACAACGATCTGTATTTTAGGCAATCCTTTTTTTTTCTTATCTGACTTCTGTGTTTTGTCAGACTTTTATTATACATTATTGCCACAATTGACACATTTTCTGTAATACTTTTTTTAACATATTAAAAATGTTAACTGTAACAAAAAAAATTAAAATAAAAGTTTTTTATTTTAGTTTTCTATTGATTTAAATTTGATTTTTTTGTGAATCAATAACTTGACTATAATTTCTAAAGTAACAATTAAAATTATCAGATAAATTGATTATGAATGTTAATATTGTAATTATGACGAAAATATTGTTTTTTTTTTTAAATTCGACTTTGATGAAACAGATGATAGCATATAAACAGTGTAAAATACTGTTACGTCAGCCGCGTCTATTGCCGACGAGTCTCAAACTATCTTTCTCGCGCTTATAAATACTCATAAGACTTTTTCGTCGCGCTCATTCAAAATCTTTATTTGCGTCAGGCAAGTATTAAAAACCGTTGAATTCGTCTGGCAATTAACAAATATTTTTTAATATTATCTAATAAACACGCTGTAAAAATTTTAGAATACCTAAAATATATTTTCGAGGTATAATAATTAAACATATTTGGGATGGTCGGGTTGCACTTTAAACCCGAAAAAAAAGTCTGGCATACCTATTTCTGTATTAAATGGATCCTAAAATTTAAGAATAAACAAATTTCAAGTTGCCTAAAGGATATTTTTTGGATTTATTTTTCTTGCAAATATAAGAGGTTGCGCAGTAGCAAAATGCCAGCCCGACATCTGGGATTCTTGGATCACCAGTTAATAAACTTTAATTTTTTTGTTATTTTAACTTGCCTAAAATATGTTCACTAAATATGTCGCCAGCTCTCCGGCTAGGTGGAATTGTGAGAAGGGGCCCGGTTGGAAATATTTTGCGTATTTCGCCTTATGTTTTGATCAATTTTTTCCTATATTGATTTGTTGTTAGTGTTTGGAATCATGGAACTGCCGTAATGCAATGCAAATGTAAATATTGTTAATACAATAAAGTTTTTGGGATAGCCTGATAATTTTATCTTAACTTTTTCCTGTTTCATTTCTACACTAAAAAAAACATATATAAAGAAAAAGCTACAACATTGTACCACAGATTATACTTAAATTTTTATTATTAACATATGACCCACAATTGTTGTTTTAGCTCAGTTATTTTAAGGATGGCAATTGCCACCCTGATTACATGGCCAGTCCGACCCTGGCAAGCTGTACCTTGCTACTCCCAAGGCGTGTAAACGCTGTATACGGGAGACTTTTATTAATATTTTCAATAAAAGTTTTACAACTTATATTGTAATTCTATTTTGATTTATTACAAAGTAGTAAATATGTATAATATGAACTAAAATATAATATATTATACTCTTCTAATGAAACTCGCCTTTATTTTTCTTCTAAAATCCGAAAATCAGTTTAATGTATAGAGTATTTCGTTAAAAAAAACACAACTTTGATGTGTAATTTTTTAGGGACATCCTGTAGAACTCTATATTAATTTTAAAAAAATTCTTCAAATTAACTTACATAAGCTAACAAAATTTCACTTCAATACAAACAGTCGTTCTCCTTCGGACACACGCGTCGTATAAAAGGTGCCACCCTGTATAATTCGATTTAAATCAAAATTTCAATGATTAGAATATAAGCAAAATAGGTATAGCTTATAGATTAGATTCATATATTTTAATAAATATACTTATGTAAAATTGCTATTTTTGGGGCTTAATGCAAATTCACCTCAAATATCCATTTAGTTGGTCATTGGCAAGCACTCTCTCATTGTACTTGAAAATAACAAAACAAACATTTACTGATCTGGATAAAATAGATAGTTAAATAGTAAGACTCCCCCGGGGGTACTCCGCCCCCTAGCCACTGACATCACTGATATTCTATTCAATATATCCCATTCCATATCTTCCATCTAATTCAAATATTATTCGGATCTAATGGTTAATAATCTTCAACAACTAGCTAGTGTTACCTGAAATAGTATAGGGGCTTCCCCCGGACGCAAATCTGCTGCTAAACAGATTCGCATTCCAATCGATGAGGCTAATTGGGGTCCTTACCAACGCCCCACCGTGTCAATCGAGAAGCAAGAGAGACCTCAAACTCTCAAGACCATCCTCGAAGGAACGACGTCACAAGAGGTTTTCTACTTCCATAGTCAAAAGACTCGCTACTTCCAAATGTCAGCTCTGTGACAAAACACAACACTATAGCCGGTCGGCCTATCAACTACTGTCCCGCCGCCTACAAGCTAAGCCTCCTCTTACATCACAATTTTACCTGATCACAAATATTTAGGTCGCTTGCCAATGAATCATACTATTTTCTCTAATCGACTTTCAAATAGAGTGTTTTAGCATTACTAGATAAATAAATAGAGAGTTTCCGAAGGAATGCATATTGTTCATTAGAATAGTGAATAAATAAAAGCATTATTATGACTAACTTATTTTCCAAGTTTTACACTTAAAAAAATAAGAAGGAAATAACTAAGAATTTACTAAATGACTAAAATAAAAGATTAAAAGCAACGGAAAAAATGGGTAAACATTTTAGTATTTTATCTCTAAAACACAATACAGAAGGTTTCACATTAATACATTCAAAGTGATTGAATTCCGAAGTAAAAGTCTCCGGGCACTCCACTAATAGAATAAATCCAATTAGTCGAGTAAAAACGATATGAAAATGTGTCAAAATATTTTTTGGAGGTTAACTACATCATATCTATACAGGATTATCAGTTAGGGCTTTACGACCTTTGGGGGGGGGGGGTCAGAAATTTTTTATCTCGGAAAATGTCAAAAATCTGTCAAAAATTTATAACCATGTTTTTTTACTTTCCTACGCGATAACTCCTAAACTAATCAACTTATTCTCATACTCTTTTTTTTAATCGATTGAGAACACATAGGCGGTTATAGCTGAAGTAATTAAAGTTCCATAGTGAGTGTATTTTCTTTCGGAAAATGGATTAAACTTCAAACATTAACTTTATTGTATCATGATTTTCGGTCAGCGAGAAACTTTTTTATTTGAAGGAATTTTTACATAGTATCTGCGTATGAAATAAAGTAAAAATATTGAAAAAGTGTTTAAAACTTGGTATAATCTTCTATTGCTAATACTTTTCTAGTTATCCTAAATTAAATTTACGAATAGGCCGCGCGCGAGACCGCTCGGGCCTCGCCGCCCCGAGACTCTTCGATTCCCCTTATTTGGTGGCACGGCGAACGCCACGTTCCGTAAGCCTATTTCTGATTATGTGCATTGTACCTGCAGTTTGAAATGTAGTAAATTCTGTACGTTATAAATTATTTAGTTATGGACTGTTTAATTTACAGAAAAACTATTAACGAAAATTATAAGTTTTTTATTAAAAATCCTACTATACGAGACCTAAAAACTATCATAAATGCTGCGGAAAAAAGGCAAGATAAGGTGCCCGGTGGCGTAGAGGTACAGGCTCTCGTCTACCAATCTCAAGGTGTGGGTTCGATTCCCACACCCGGCATTTCATCAGCCGACTATTTTTATTAAAATAAAAATAGTTTGGGTACCTAGGTCGACTCAGCCTTAAATGAGTACTTGGGATTCACAATCCTGAGGTAATAATAGGCGGTTGAAGCGTAGTGCTAGCCACATTACCTTCCTTGTATACCGAA